TTATTACCAACTTCCGATTGTCAAAATTGTACCTATACAAGAGACCCACAGGTCTGTTAAAATTACAGTAAAAGCTCCATAAGTGCACCTTCTATAAGTACACACCCTTTCTAAATGCACACTCAAATTCGGACCCAAATACATATATATTCTCTATAAATGCACATTTTCTTGTTCTTTAAGTATACATTGTTAAAGTTCGGTCCCAAAAGTGTGTATTTAGAGATTTTACTGTAGTAAAATGAAACAAATCCGTGCCAGCAGCTTACTATAGTAAAATGAAACAAAACTAGTCTTGTATATGATAGCTTACTTTAGTAAAATGAAATAGATCCAGGGCTTGTATACGGCAGTTTACTGTAATAAAATGAAACAGATCCAGGTCTTGTATATAGCAGCTTACTGTAGTAAATTAAGGATCTGGGTACTTCATTTTAAAAACAAATTCAACTTTGCTCACAATCTTTACTCTTAACTTTCTGTAAGCTACTCTAGGAAGTTCGAAAAATAAAAACATATTGAATAAACTTGGTGAAAGTATGTTATAAATATGTTTTTAGATTTTATTAGTTTAATTAAATTAGGTATACATATCATAGTAAATGCCACGTGCACCCAAAGTAAAGTTTTTAAGAAAAAATTTTTGAGCAAAATGGTTTTAATACTAAAACCGTACAGTATTGCTTTACTGTTTGTACTATTTTTGTATAAAAGTTTATTTAAATTTATTGACTTTGCATATAACCAAAAAATTACAATTTGTATTTTTGTCTATATGATTTGCGTCACATTACACTATATAATTTTCTTCATATGACTAGCAGATCATCAATTAATGTTATTGTATTGATTGTTATATGAGAAGTACTGGTGGTTTGTAAGTATATTTTGTAATTCTTGTAGTTGAGTACTGATAATGTCTAGATTTGAGTGATTAAGAAATGGTTGTATTGTATACAGGTCGAATAAAGACATATCGGCAGATGAAATTCTAGATAACAATCAGAGACATATCAGGTCCATATAAAAATTTGAAATTTTGAGCTTAATCAGAGACCTATCAGCATGCCGATATTAACATAATATTGTTTATATATTATACTGATTTTTTTAATAAACTACAGAAGGAATAGGCCTAATATTGGTATAATCAATATTTATTTGTTATTAATTCGATATTAATCAAAGTTTTCTAATTAATCTAAGAATAGTTCAGTATAATATCAGAATTTCGATATTTATTTGAAATTATTCCAAAATAACATCGATATTTATTTATATAAATGTTAATTTAAAATTGTTCAGATTTTTGTATTGACTACTATAACTAGAGATAGGCACTATGCAGTATGGTGCTTAATCGTCATATAAAATAATTTATATAAAAAATTAACATCTAATGTGATTTTCATAATTTTAATCATATAACAATTAAGCATAACGTTTTCAGAATATCGGCAATCCCGATATTACTAAATTCATATAAAACATTCAAATTAGGTTTAATAGTAATAGCTAATGATTTTTCTTTTTTAGAAAATATCAAGAACACGATATAGCTATATATTAGTTAATCTACAATGTTATAAAATTGTTGTGTTTGATTTATTAGATATATAAAAATTTTAATACGTAAAATATCATGCATTACGAAAGTTATATAAAATTATTATTATATGTAAAATTTTCTATTAACAGGTATTACCTAGGGGATAGTCAATTAATGGGGGGTACAACTTAATGTTATACAAGTAGATAATCGAGATCCAAAATTGTCACATAATTAATTCGTTACAAATTAATATAATTAATATAAAAACATTTTCAAAGCTATACTAAGAAAGTATTTAATTGCACCAGTTAGTCGTTGATTCAAGATATTTAATTCATATATCCTATTCGCAACCTCTGGTAGATTTTTATGAAGTTTGGAGGCATACCTGGATTCACAAAGCCAAATAACACACCCCAAAGTGAAATTGTAACGATTTTCAGGTAATTGTAATTTTACTCTTTTATTGTTAAATAGCAATGGTTCTGAGCTTAAATTGCAAACGGAAGACAATTTTTTAAGCTTGCCTCAAGACACCACTTTATGAATTATGAGGGTCCACTATTACGTGAACGATTTATGGAGATAGAAAAGATCAAAACTGATGGCCTTGTCATGATTGATCAAAGTTTTGCGACATGAACCCGATTATCAAATGGGTAATGCTAAGCTGCCAAATAAATATTTACAAATTCGTAAGATTCATTTGAACCATCTTTGTAGTTTTTTTTTTCTTTACGGTTATTAGTCTAATTATGTACATACGTACGTACGTACTAAACTTTCACATTTAAAGATTCTTAACAATTACGTACAAACTCAAACGTAAATGCCAATTCGGATTTTCTATATTTATTTTGTTTATGAAATGTAATAATTATTGTCAATAAAGAGATTGTTGCAAAAATGATTAATACAACAGTTATTCCACATAAGAAAACCACTGAATTATTTAAATGTTAATAGACTTTAGGCCTTTGGGTGTATTTTTTGATAATAGATGAATGTCTTATGTTCATCCTTTCCAGTTTCAATTCTTTCATAACCAACATTAAATGTTCCTATATTATGATTCGTATCAGCAGATTTGTGATTATAAAACAATAACTACACTATATGTTTCTTGACAATAAATAAATTCCTTATGTTAATCCCTTTCAATTTCAATTCTATGATGATAACAATAGCCGACGTTATATATTCCACCAGCATACTCCGTATAGTAGATTCTTGATAATAAATGAGTGCATTACGTTCGTCATTTTTTATGTTCATTCCTTTTTAACTCCAATCCCACCATGATAGCAACAGCCAATGCATGTTTCATCAAAATTATCTGTGTCTATATTTTTGGATCATAATCTAAAATTTGATATTTAATATGATTGTTTTATTAATCGAGATTGGGCAGAGAAGATAAAAACTCAACCTTACCTAGCATACTCTTGGCACGATTAGAGTTTCCTATTAACACTATAAAAATTAAAATTATGGTAAATAATCCGCACATAATTTGTGAACTAATTTTTTCATGAACTGCCCAATTTATGATTATCTAACAACCGAGAAGCTTTAATAATTATTTTTATAAATAGAAGGTGATAGACCAATATTAATTTTAAGCAAAAATTTGACCTCTTTTCTTTGTTTCTTCGTTGAATTCTGAACCATCTTGCAGATGAGTAAATAGTAAATCTATGTAAACTAGTTTTTTTTTTGCTTTTATCTCTAAAGGTTTGTCTTGAAATGCTTGAACAATAGTTTTGAGATCTGATAATATAAATGCCTTTTCAAATGCACTCTTAGCCCTATCATCGTGAGCCCAAATCTTGAGCTGATCAAGTGCGAAATTAAGATCTTTGGGTAGCATTTCTTTTTTAAATGTGAAAAACTTTACTTTCGGATTATTTTTTTTTGTCTCGTTTTTCAAATCAGCATTCATTGCCTTAACGTTTTCTCGCAAACTTGACGAACCTTTTTCTGGTATATATTCCTTAAATTGCCGCCAAGACCATTGTCTGCTTTGCATATAAGTCTTAATCAACCGCATAAATAAATATCTTTCATCCTCTTCTGATAGATGATTAGTATCGTACTGGTGCTCATATGATTTTTGCAGAAGAGTGTAAAACTGCTCCTTTAAAGGTTGGTTGTTTGTAAGATTATTGTTGATATAGATCAAAATGTCTGGTTCATACTCAGTATGTTTTTCAAACAGTTGAAGAACAAGCGACTCTAAATAATATATAAATTGAACAAAATCGACCCCAGGGATAATTGTTGTTTTTTTTGAACGGGTGTTATATTCATATTCCACGTGCTTAGTGCTTAAGGCATTCAAGCATGATCTCATTTTCATGAAGTTTTCATGTGCTATTGTTTGTGAGTCACTTAGAGTTAACTTGTAGATAACTCAACCAATGATGTAGAGAAATTTTGAAGCCTTGGCTGACTCTAAGGTAATGATTTTTCTAGGTATAGTCCATGATTCTGTTTGATTTGCGATAAGCTGGTCGGGATGTTGACTACCTTGTGATTGTTTAAATGTAATTTTGATTGTTTTTTCTAGCAAAATATAAGCTACCAATCGTTGAACTTCTACATTAATATTGGTTGGGACTAACAATTGGAAATTATTGAACCAGTCGCCTGCACATTTGTAATTATTTAAACTGTTTTTCAAATTTGTTGACCATATAGCCATCCATTGCGTACTTTTCTTTGCCGGAACGGAGTCTAATGCCATTTGACGAATTTTTTTTGACCAGGATACTAAAAGATCGTCAACACCATCGTGATATAGCAAGTATTCAATTAATCGTACTCTTTCAAGTTGCAAATTATTTATATTTATATTTTCTATTCTAATATTTTCATTTTTTGAGGATAGCGACAGCTTTAACTGTCCCATTATCAAGTCATCATCGATAATTTCCTTAAATATTTGATGGCTCACAGTAGAAAGTACTTCAATTCGAGGTTTGTAGTAAATATATTCTTTATGGTCCCAGTTTTCAGATTGTAACGCTGTACGGTAGTCCCTGTAAAAATAAACTTTAAATCAATGTGTTTTATTTATAAAATTGATATGCAGTTTACCTTCATTTCAAATTAGTAAGCGCACAGCCCGAGCTATCAGCTGAACCATAATTTAGACTTCGTATTTTCGACGTCATTTGCGTTGTGACTGTAAATTTATTCATTGCATATCCATAGGATTGAACTGTTTGCGTAGAGGAATCACCACCCATCTCCTTTATTGTTCCAAACAAACCCTCAAGCATGTCTTGAGAAATCCTTCTTGGCTGAATAACAGCACCTGGCCAGTTTCTAAATACATATTCTATAATTCTGAAAAATCCGTTAATTGACAAAATTAAATCAAACTGACACTGAGAGGAAAACCATTGACTTGGATCCTTTTTTTGCTTATTGCCTTGAATCAGGGATGTTAAACCGTTTAACCAGATTGGAAAAATTAAATATAAATCAAATGTATTAAATCACCTTGAACTAGTTTAGTTTATATAGTAAAATTGGAATGGTTTAACATCCCTACCTTGAATAAACCAGTATTTTATCTCTTTTAAAGTATTCAGGCATGGATCTTCAAGAGAAGATATGCATATTCGATTATGCGTAATATCTCGATACATCCTTGCGTAAGTAACAAATAACTAAGAAAAAATTTATTAGACCTTGAATAAAATAAAATTACGTGTTGAGACTATTATGTGATTTCTGGTACGTGAAATCACATGATAGTTTTAGAATTGAATTCGATTGATACATCAAATTGTTTAATTTTGCCTAGTGAATGTATAAAATAAGACATTATTTATAACCTGAGTGCCTTGGGAAATGTTCATTAACTCTGGAATTTCTGCCATTGCATTTTTGACATCTTGTAATAATGTATGTTCTGCAAGATCTACTCTCATTTTGCTCCAAGGCGTAAGCCATATATATCATTTTGTTAGCTTAGTAGCTTTTGCTGTCATATGTTTCATGATATGATCGTATACTCCTTGAAAATGTCTCTAACTAATTTCCCAACCATCATACATTATCTCTCTTACACTTTTCTTTTCACCAGAACCAGTATGGCTTTTTGAAACATTGTTTCTTAATTTTTTAAAAACATGAGTTGGATTATTTAAAAAGAACCATGTTTTACCAGTTACAGGATTTATGGCAAGATGCCATGCCCAATGCTAATTTTCATCATATGCTGGACGAATATCACTAAGTAGTAATCTCCATATAATTTGTTGACCTTTTTCAGTAGGTTTAATTGCAACCTCAATATCTAAATATCCATTTACCAGAACTCCAGTAAGTATTCTACTGGGATACTACTCATTGTCAACCGTATTCTGAACTTCACACAAATCATTGATATTCCAATTAGTTTTTTTTGGCATTGGAGGCCGTAAAACAGATTGTGCAATGTTATGGCGAGATTGTTCAATGTCAGAGAGCTCAACCAAAAATTCAGTACACTCTGGATTAAAAGCAATTATCTTAGAAGGTTTGTAGCTTTTTTTTCCTAGTTTATTTAACAGTTGAACTTCTACTTTGTCACCTATTTTCCAGGTCATTGCAAACCAATCAAAACTTTTAACATGTCTCCTGTTTTCACCTGCACCATCACAAACGGATCCACAAGTATAAATTGCTATACATTCGAGCTTGGTGGCCAAAGAAAAAAGAATCGTATTAAGAGTATGAACATCTATTGTCTCAATTGCAAAATAGGCTATTGGGAAGTTAAAAGGATGGGTTATTGAGTGCCATACTATTTGATGCACCTGAGTTGCTAAGGTATGTTCACGATCCTTTTTATCATCATCTTTTTGGCAACCAGAATCATTCTGGACATCATGAAGACATTGCTCACCAAACGTCTCAATTTCTGCATTCTCATCATCAAAATCAACATATCCAACATATCTGTTGTCGCGTTGACTTCATAAAAGTCCTACAATAAATAAAAGCCTAGTTTATTGTTTTTTTTTCAAAAAAAAAAATAATAATAATCATTGTCACAGTGATACTGAAAATTGGGTCTCGATTTAAAAATATAAGCTCTACAAAATCCAGATATACTCTTTTATTAACAACACTAACCCTAAATCCTAACCTAACGATAAAAAAAAGCTACAAAAAAGATCCCAAAAAATTTTAAATTTTCATATCGAAATAGGTTCAATTTTCGCATCAGCCACGACAATAATTGAATATCCAGCTATTCTAACCTTTTTATATTTTAAATGAATCGTGAGAGAAAAAGCCTAATCTTGCATATCCCCATATGTTGTTTGCCTCCATATTTGCTATCATTCGCTCTGCCACCTTGTCTTGCCAACCTGTATGCTGATTAGTCTCATTAATATAACTTTTGAGTGTTGATAATGATGGCATCCGAATAATGGATTTCATTGCTTTGTAGGCAGCAGGGCCTCTGCTGTAAATTGATATTGCCCATCGAATAAACCTGCAAAATATATTTAGTAAATTTAAGTAAAATTTTATTGATACTACGATTTATTCCTACTTACATAGGGTGGTATCGTACTCCTTTCGGTTTTTCACTCTGCACACGAATTAGCTCTTTTAAAATAAGATTTGATATATCCTCGAATTCTTTATTTTTGACTTTTTCAATCACGCTATGAACGATGTTAGTCATTAGTTCTGATGTATGTTCTTCCTCTGTTTCAAATTTTAATTTTAAATGGTTGCTAAGTTCTTTAATCAATTCTTTCTGAGATTTGATTGTCTAAAATAAAAACATTTATTAGTATGTGAGCTTGTTAAAACAACTTAATATAATAAATACTTTTCGCATATTCTGAACAAGTTCCGTTAGGATTTCTCTGGACGCATGTGATGTTTTAACAGGCTGAACACTGACGGTATGTCATTTTTCAATTTTATACAACGTATTGTATAACGGTTTACAATTTATGCATATATTCCCATCTGGCACAAAGAAAGCACAATCAACTCTGTGGTAGGTTTCAGTGTCAGTTCCTTTATTTTCCAGACTAGCAATAATCTCATGATCATTTTGGGAGCCTAAAGAATTAGAATATATATGATCACCTCGCAAGCGGGTAGCTTGCTCAAATCCTATACATATTATAAACGATGTTATTAAAAAGTATCAATTCAAAATATATATATTTTTGAGCTTACCTTTGGTATATTGCCTCATGCAAATGGATGATTTTTTACAAAATCGTACGATTGAAATAATATCTGCCATAGTTGAGATTTTGGTGTTAATACAATTATTTTTTGAAAAAATATCTTGGACTTCAGACCCGTTCACAAAAATAGAACATTTTATAGGTTCCCGACAACCATGAGAAGCTTGATTAAAACAAAGTTCTTTTCGAGTATTTTTTCCGTCAGAAAATATAAGTCGTAGAGATTCATCACCCTCCATTAGAGTTATGTTTGTAAATTCTGCATCGTTACGTATCATTGTCGTTAGAGTATCTTTGATAGAGAGTAATGTAATTATCTCAGCACTTTTGAAGTAAGATACATGGTTTTCTCCTTTAATTATTTGACCGACGCTTGTTCCACTAGAGCTAGGATTTAAAAAAATAGTGGCTAGTGAAGATTTTTTGCCCTTAAAAAAATGTTTTTTGCCAAGTGCTTTTATCCAAGCAGAAAAAGATGAAAATCGATTTTGTGTGATCATGTCATAAACATAGACATGCTTTTCCGATTTTTCATACAAAATACGCCCTTCTGCAGATTTATCGAGCGTCGGAAAAAACTACACACTTTGACCATTAAGATCAGGACGAAGTCGATAAAGTTCTTGTAAAGGTTCAGGCTCTTGATATCTTGTACGTTTTAATATTTCCTTTTCAGAACTAAAGTTTCTCTAAAAACTAACGTTAATCAAATCACATTACTATTCATAAATTTGGCCTTTTTTTACCTTTATTTTTTTCTGTTTCTCCATTTTTTTTTTTTTTTTTTTTTTGTCACGCAACTAACTATATTTAAAATAATTTATACGATTCAATTTTTGGAGATAAAGAAAACAGCTACAAAACTTTTATTTAGCTAAATACCGGCTTTTACTTATTATGAGGTTCATAAAAACAAAAAAATGTATCCAAAAAACTTGATTATTCCATAAAATCGTATAATTAAAAATTGAGACTAAACGCAATATGCTAATCTATATATAAGTGAAAACCAGAATTCTAACTTTAAATTTATTACCTTGTCGAATTTAGTCTCTAAAGAGATTCTTTAGAACTAATTCTGGTAAAAATTATAAATTCAAAGTCAGAATTCTGGTTTTTTCTTTGTATCACTTTAGTCAAATACATGTCGTGACAGTTCTGAGATTATGACTAAACTTGTGTAACATTAAGTTGTACCTCCCTTAATTGACTATCCCCTAGGTATTACTAACATATATTCTATCAGGTTTTTCTTCCCAACTTTAACAGTATCAGAAATGAATCAACCTAAAATATTGTGAATAGGAATTATACAATCCCTACTTATATTATAAAAGTTCTGATTCCACAATTCAATATTACAAATATCATCCACTTGGCAATGATACCTAATTTTATGGTTATCAACAGGTTTAAACCAACATACAAATGCCAATACATGCTTTTTAGGTCCTTCTGGTAGCTGTACCACATGCTCAAAATAGAATTGAATGATTCCAGGATATATGTCGGTAGATCCATCAGCTAATATAAATTTGGCTAGAATTTTTGCCAACCTTTTTTGCTTTGCTGCAGATGTTGAACCAAAAATTTCATCACCAATTTTTACTTTTCCAAATTCAGTTACTCTAGGCAAAACTAGTATAGATTCAGATCTTCTGATATTCCTTTCATTTAATGACTTGAAACTATAATTATATACGTTATTATAATATTCAGTCAATATATCTGATATTTCTTTCAAAAGGATCTTTCAAGCATTTTTAAGACCCAATATTTCTTCTGAAAAAGGTTTAACACCAGTTCCTAAGCTTTTTTCGATGTTTCTAGACATTGATAGAAACTTGTGGTGGTCATTTCTATTTTGTATAGAAAGACTGCCTTTTGTAGTTCTTTGCTTAATAAACTGTAAACACGTATGGAAATAACCTTCTGCTTGTTTTGTAAGTTTCTCCAATAGTGAATAAGATTGTATAGTTTTAAATAATTCAATTTCAATTTTTTTATTACTATTATAAAATGAACCTATTAACATATAAAAATTTTTTTATAAGCTATCAGCATTTTAATATGCCAATTAATAAATTTTATAAGTATCAAACTTATCTAATAAACCATTTATTCTCAAAAACAAACTCTTTCTGATGATCCTCTGGTCAACAACAACAAAAACTGAACTACAGCAAAACATATAGAAAAGTGACGAAGTGGATACTAAAACTTGGTCCTATAA